CCCATGCTATACTCACACATCATAGATCACCCATCCCTGCGTTTTGCTCTGAGTTAGCAGTGGTTGGACCAGAATTTCAAAACAACAGTAAGCAGTTTTAGAAGTTCGTCAGTTTCACTAGGTCCTGCAAAGCCTTTAACACCTGATTTCTACCATTACCACACTTCAGAACAGTACAAGCCCTGTCAGTATCCTTTGCCTGATTTTCACTTATTTCCCACGCTGTTTTGTCCTCAGTTCATTCCTGGGAGCCAGTCCTAGCAAAGGCCTTTTTCTACCTTTTATTAGAGATGTTCCTACAAATCTCATTGCCTAGTGTCTGCCTGTCACATGGGGCTAACATTAAACTGCACAGTCTCATATACAACTCCTTTACTTACTGTGGACATGATTCTAGGTGCTTATTACTACACTTAGTCTTTCTCAAATACCACAGGGCTCCATACGCAATCAGCTCCTTCCCTGGGTCCAGGCATACTGACTGGCACTACGAAGTAGCACCTACAGAAATGGTGAAGCGCTCCTGTTTCTTTAGATTCTGGAAAGTTTCGTCATCACTTTTTGAGGCTTCTTCTCCTATTTCAGTTCAATAGCAACTTCCTCCATACTCTTCTTCCACTATCTTCCCACACACACTCTCCTGGCAAAGCCTAATTATCTCCAGCCCACCTCCATAATCCATCTCTCCGACAGGCAGCATCCCAATGCTAGCTGGTCCTATAATTATGGTGACTTCTTACTTGAAAGCACCTTTTCTCAACAAAATAGCTTTTCACACACATCAGTAGAATTGACTGCAGTGGCAGGAGCTCTAAGAACATCGCAGCAGGTTGTGATAATGAAGACAGGGAAGAGTGCACACCCTATGACTGTGTGATCACTAGGAAAGAGCTGTGTGGGGAAGCTGTGTGACTGGCTCAGGAGCAATGAGGAAGTAGCTCCCCACCAGCCCCCTGGAAGTTCAGCCCTGCTTCAAGCACTGGGAGGACAGATTGGACTTTCAAATTCCTACTGACTTCGAGCTTTTAAAGCTACCAAGTCAAAAAACTCGGTTTGGTGTGTGGCTGTTGGAAGAAGGATGCTTTTGTTCTGACATAACCTACATTTACACTGTTCCAAATTCTTTTGACAACATCCAGGCGAAGAACAAGCAATGCTCTTATAGTGGAGATCTATCAATGTCTATGCCACTAAAAAGGAAAGCTACTGAACTCCTGACATACAGCCTGCCTTAAAACCAGCAAAATCTTTTAGCAAGAAGCATACTGCATCTCCAGCATCTAAATCTAGTCTGTCCCCTCATAACACACTTTCAGGGCTCTTTGCACCTGAGTCACTGTAATTGAGCTCTCGCAGCAATGCTGGCAGCAGATCCCTCCTGCCCTATCCCTGGGAAGACCTAGAACTCAGGATTAAGAATTAAAACTCCTCCTACAATACTAATTCAGAGACTTCAGCAAATAGGGTTGATTGTTTCATTCCCATGTCTCCCAGGATCCTGAGTTTGTATCTACAGCTGTAGAGTCTTTTGATAGTGTTTTTGTAATGACTGTCCCCAATCTGTTGTCAGGTCAGTGGCCTTAATTTCTGTTTCCTCAGAGACCAAAACTGAGCACATGTAGTGAGCTTTACTCCTCCTATCCATATCAACTTTTCCTTTCAGCGTTACTAGAATTTATTTCTGTTTCAAATAATCAAACAGTAATCCAGCTGAAGCTTCAAACCTGGAGAACTCTAATTCATGGATGTGAATCAGCATCACAAAGGAATATTCCTTCTGCTTTAACCCTAGATTGGATCCAAAATCTGACAAAGGATTACAAATTTTAAAGTTCATCTGAATTAGAAGTTTCCAGGTCTTTTAGAAGACACCCACAGGCATTTAAAGGAAGATTTCTAAATGTATCTTCGCTTTAGGGAGAGAGAAATTAAGGTGCCAAACCCATCATTTGTCCCCAGTTGCTTTCTGGAATCACAACATGAATCCTGGAGTAACATCTCAGCCTGTCTCTAGTTTTGGTAATTACAGGGAGCAGATGCAGACACATTGTGAATGAGTAGACTGCACATTTAGTACCACATCACACAACCAAGAGCATTGCACCAAACAGGGCTGAGGCTCCTCAGCTTGTACACTTGATGTATGTCTGAGTCTGTAACAGCCTCACTATAGACATGTGCCTGCAACCTTCCCACTGGAATTTTTTGCCAGAGACTGGATTAACATTCAGCATATACAAAAAAAAAAACATTTTAGAATTCCTTTCCCATGCAGGTGGGATGCAGGGATGAGAGGTCTCATCTGTTGTGTCAGTTCTGGTTTGTGATTTGCATTTTTGTTGGGGTTTATTTGGTTTGGGTTATTTTGTTTGGGTTCTTTCCCAATAGTGTCCTTTTATATGCCTGCACTTAGGAGAAATGTGTTAGGTAGGAATTCTTCTCCCACATAGATTCAGTTAATGACAAGTACAAGTAATGCTTGCCTGTCTAGATGGCTGATATTCAGACCATAAACCAGCCATTTAAATGCTGCTGATAATGAAATTAAATAAGTTTACTTGCAACCGTAAGCACTACAGTGGAAAGAAGTGCAGTAAATGTTTGTAGTTTCTGGACTTTCTTCTCTTATAAAAATATACTATACTTTTTCCAGGAATATAAGGCAATTTGTTTTACTACACCTGTTTAATGAAAACTGTAAATAGTTCTTCTTATTTTATATATAGATAGATAGATAGATACACACATATATATACACATATATACATGCACTGCTTTTTTTCGTGGCAATTTGTTCTTTTTTCATGGCAAAATAAGTATTTTCACAGCCATTTGTTGTTACCACTAGTGTTACCAACTAACTTTTCTTGCCTATGAATTTCTCCGGGGAAGCTCCACCAAATTGTTTCTTCCTTAAAACGATTCCTACTTCTTGATGTACATCTGAAATACTTCAGATTTCTTTGTAGTTAAATGCATCAAATTGCATAAGGATAAGATGAAAAGATGAACTGACAAAGAAAATACAACACAAAATGATATTGCCTTCACTCTTACAACTTCACAGGTCTAATGCATTCTAGAAATGAAAGTCAGTACAGAAATGCCCCTACTTACATTTCTGAGCCACCCTGAACTAAGAGGACTTAATTTACAACTGGTGAAGTTCTTAGAGGTTTTTAAGACCTTGATACCAAAAGACATTTTCATTACTGAGATACTCTCATAACCACACAATCTACACACCTTAATGTCTTTAGCAGCTTTTATCTTCACAATACACAGAGGACTCATACAACGACACCCGATTTTACAGATGGAGAATGGAGGCAGAAGAACATACTTGGAGTCAAGTAGGACCTTCATTCTGAACTAGGAATTAAAGCAGATTTATTCACAAAGCATCTTTTGTTAAAAACTATACTTCTTATCACTCTTCTTCAATAGCTGTCTAGCAAAGGCCTCTAGAAAAACATCCATGCTGCCTTCCAAATATCATCACATTCTGTTTAGACATACCCAGCCCAGTTTCAAACCTGCCAGCAGCAATACAGAAACCCAGTAACACAGAGCTCAGTATGAATGAAGTCCACTGAAAAGCACAAAAAAATGCACCATACAGTACTTGCGTAGTGCTTCTGCTAATCTATACATACCACCCAAGCTAACAAAAGCTTGTTTGACTACACAGATGTGAAGTCATACCTTTAACCTGCCCTGTAAATCAAAGATTGCTAAACCGATCATGTAGACACTTGTCATGCAGCAGCAGTAACTTATATTACTGAGAAGCTCAGTAGAGTTCTTTCTTCTGGGCATCTATTAAACTTCACTTGATTCAGACAAATTCTTTCACTCTGCTGATTATTCTGGGTGGCTTTTACCTTTAGTTGAAACATCTGAATCACTTTAAAGATTTTTTGAATACCCTTAGACCGGTCTTTGTTTCTTTCTGCTGAGAGGACAATTACAATTGCAGGCAGATTATTTACAGTAGTGGCATGGACGGGCTTTTCCATCACCCTTCTAAATGGGGCCTCTGTTTTAAAATATTCTTTACTGGGATGTCAGAAAGAGCTTATCAGTTTGGATTTGAGCATTTTTTGGTAAAAAAAGAGAGTTCCATTCTTTGTATCAACAACAAACCAGTGAAGAGCAAGTGCCTTGAACCACCCTGCAGGCAAATAGCTGAATGTTCTGGTTATAGACCAAAAATAGCATTTATGTTATCTGTCCTATTCACGCCCTTTACATGTTAGAAGTTAGTGAGCCAAGGGAGAATGTCCTTGGTTAGGGTACAAGCTGAATGAAGAATGAGGAGCCCCATTTTCTCATTTAATCTTCAGCTAATAGCAGTCAAAAATGCACAAACAACATCATGGTAACTAAGAGAGGTGTCCCTGCCCATGGCAGAGGGCTGGAACTGGATGATCTTAAGGTCCTTCCCAACCCAAACCATTCTATGATTCTGATGGGTGTTTTCTAATGTGATATGAAGGTAGGCTAAGGCTGTATAGACTCAAGACTTGCTAAAGATTGTGACTCACCTCAAAACATGGGAGGACTTGCTAAACTGCCTTTTCCTTTCAGTCTGGGGAATGTGCCAGGGTGGTATCCTCCTATCTGCTTTTTATCCTTAAACTGTTTATTTTTCTTCTGGGGTGGCAGTGGTGCCAACCCCAGCAGATAGCTAGTGGCCAGCAGCAGTCAGGCATACTCTGCGAAATGTCTTCATTCGGCTGCTGCTTTGGAGAGAAATCTCCAATTTAGTATCTCAGCTTCTAAAGTTCCATCTTCCATCCACACCTCCACACTACTTATTTCCCCTCTCAAATAATGAGCACTACTCAAGGAGAGGATAAATCTCCAAAGGGTTTAATAAAACAGCTATATCATAATCCCATTTCTCTACAAAGCACAGCAGCACCATCGAAAGATAGTTTCTTGTCATTGCTAGTGTAGCTGCTAGACCCTTTCACATTAATATACAAACTGTGATGTAACTTCATAAAATGCCATTTATTTGGATGTTTCTAAAGACTTAAACACATCAGAAAGATCGCAGCCTAACTTTTCAACTGCACCAAGTCAGAGCTCTGGGTTCAGAGTCAGTCTGAGCTCTACAGATTGTATCTTTTAAAAGGCTCCTTTCAACAAATTCCCAAGTGCACACTTCCAGCATCCTCTGAAAATTAATCCTAAAATCTATGTCTATATGCAAGTATGAATGCAAAAACAGACACTTAAGGTGTAGATACAATTCCCATTACAGGGGTATGAGAATTTTTCCCTAACTGCACACTGAGCAGTGAATCAGTCATGTTAATTACCATACACAGTGGGTGTTGGTATGGGTGTGACAGCATACATAAACTTTAATAATACTTCTCCTGATCTCCCAGATAACCATATAGGATTTATAACCTTTGATTTATTTGGGGTTGTCTCTTCTCTTTTTCCTCTCCCCACTCCTTTTTTAAAACCTTTCCAGGATTTTTCCTCCTCTTCTTCCACCTGTCACCAGGAGCATTTAGAGTCCAGACTGAAATAAATCCATAGTAAAAGCAGATGAGCCTTCAGTTCATTATGCTTCTGTGAGCTTTCAATGATTAATTTCCATATTATGATAATACTGCCATCAAGCCTCATGTAAAAAAAACATTTCAATGTCTTAAGGTAATACTAATCTGTAAGAAATGCAGAAACATGGCACATGGTCATTGGTTTACTTATATAGCCCTCCAAGAGTATTCATATAGTTTTAGCACTTATAACCAGTACCTTTGAGCAGGGTCCTAAGGGCACCCTAAGCTTTTTGCAAAGCTTAGGTCCAAAGTGGGATCAGCTTTTAATTTTTACCTTTTTTTTTTTTTTAGCTTTTACTTTCATCCTTAATGCCTTTTTTCCTCACATCTCAGTTCTGAGGTCTGTGATATTTTTGTGTTTCAAAAAAGAGGATATTCTCACTACAGATAACAGTCCATGTAGTATCCTATTATTATAGGTCTACAAATCCGAGTTTAAATAAGGCAAGGGCCACAGTGTTAATTCAGCCTCCTTAAGCAGTCACACACAAAGAGACAAATAATGTGTTTCTGTCAGCCTGCATTCAACTTGTCTGGTCTGCTTAAAAGGATGACAGGCTTCTATTCTTACCATTGACTTTGGTGCAATATCGTGGATCCTAAAACACACTAAAGAATAAGTCAAAACATCAAACAACTGTCTCTATCAGGGTTATAGGACATCATTACTCTATTTGCAACTGGCTCAGATCATTTAGTTTTAACTCTTCTGACTGATCTCAGCAACCAGTGATATCAGCTGCAGTTGCCTTAAGTCTACAGCCATTGGTTTCTGACGGACTCAAAACCAATGGAAGATGTATTTTACTCCAATGCAGAAGGTTTTAAAATTTGCTTGGTTTTCCCTTCAAGTTAAAAGAAATTCTTCCAAAAACAATCCCCAAAAGGAAAAGGTAGATAAACCAGAACTCACTTATATAGCACCTATAAGTGAGTGCTATACTCGTAGTGACATGGTTTAGTAGTGGACTTAGCAGTAGTTGGGTAAAGGTTGGACTTGATCTTAAAAGTCTTTTCCAACCCAGTTGATTCTATGATTCTATAGCGAGACATCCAGTTCAAGTCCCAGTTCAGAGTTAAATCTCGATCCTACATATTCATGGAAAAGTAGAACCAGAAGGAATCTATGGCAGATTCATTTTTGCTTTAAAAGAATACAGTTTCACAGCATTTCCTGATGCATGCAAAGTGATAAGCCAATCTCATATTCCAGCAGAATCTGACTGGGTAAGTAGAATCAGCCCCACTAATGTGCACAATCACAGTGCATAATATCTGCAATGTTGTTCTCTGCCTAGTATCAAATCAAAAGGAATTGTGATTGCAGATTGGAGAAGGAAATTGAGGCCCTGGAAAGAGAAGAAATGGAAGTCTCAGCTAAGGAAGAAGCAATTTTAAAGAAACTTAAGTCTGTTGAGAAAACAACAGAAGACATAATAAAGGTTAGTGCCATATTACTCCAGAAGTAGAATTCATTACTCAGTTATCATAATAACCAGGGAAAGTGGAACTTGCTGGTTCTGCTAGTAGTCATGAGTAGTGCCAAGTAGACGTGAGCACTGCAAGCAGTCATGAGCTATTGTCTGAAGTGACAGAAGCTCAAATACAACAGGAGTTGAGGTATTATACTGTTCAAGCGCCCAAATGTCTCCATTTGCTAGTTTATGGGGGTGGGAGAGCAATTCCTATCATCCCTTATCCATAGCACTGCCACCAACCAGCAACTTTGCATCTCAGCCAGGGAAAGATTTAAGAGGTACCAAGTGAATGTAGAGATTGATCTATTCATACCCCTCCAGGTGATGTGGCTGGTTAAACTGCATTATGCTTTTTACTCCAAGTCCCTGAGAGAGGGTATAGTGAAACATGACTTAATATTAGTCATTAGTCTTTGTCAAAATGTCATTCCAATATTTAAAAACCATCTTAAATAATCTCAAATAATATAGCGATGAAACTGAAATTTATAGTTCTACAGTTGTTCATGCACGCAGATGCTTCCTCTAAAAGATATGCAGGGAGATAAGTACAACAGGAAAGCCAAAGTAGAACTTTGAAGTGAAACCTTTGAAGGCAATCAGCTTGGGCCACAGCGTGAGGCTGGGTGACTAGTTTTTTATGTCCTGCCTTCCCCTGTGTGACTTGGAATCACACTGGCAAAAGAGGCCTCAAAAATGTCCCCTTCTCCCTTGCCATGCTCCCACAGAGCAGGTTCCACTTTTAGCCCTTCTCACTATGAAGCTGTGCCCAGAGAAAGTTAAAACTAGCAGGTAAAGCAATGCACTATCTAGTTAACATCTTAAAACTAACTAATTGCATTTATTGTTAATGGTTCTCTTTCCTAGCCTGTGAAGGCTGAAAAAGCAGGAGTTGAAAAAGGTATGTTTAGCCTAAAAAAATATTTCCAAAAGGTTCTTGCAGAAGTCAGTGAAAGCATACTCATGCTTTGTGCATCTCCTTTATTCAGAGGCAGACTACATATATGCCAGCATACCTGACCTGCCCAAGCATTTCAGGCCCTCCACACTGAGAAGTCCAGCACATGCTGCCACTGATGACGAAGAGAAGAGGAAAGGTACTGCTTATCAGTAACTTCAAAGGGTGCCAATATAGAATCATAAAATGGTTTGGGTTGGAAAGGCCCTTAAGCTCATCCAGTTCCAAACCCTGCCATGGGCACAGACACCTCACACTAAACCATGTCACCCAAGACTCCATCCAACCTTTCCTTGAACACTGCCAGGGATGGGGCAGCCACAGCTTCTCTGGGCACCCTGTGCCAGCGCCTCAGCACCCTCACAGGGAAGAGCTTCTGCCTTAGGCCTAACCTGAACTGCCCCTGGTTCAGTTTGATCCCATCACCCCTTGTCCCATCACTACAGTCCCTGATGCAGAGTCCCTCCCCAGCACCCCTGTAGCCCCTTCAGACACTGGAAGCTGCTCTGAGGTCTCACACAGCTTCTCCAGGCCAAACAGCCCCGATGTTCTCAACCTGTCTCCATACAGGAGCTGCTCCAGCCCCTGATCATCCTCATGGCCTCCTCTGGACTTGCTCTCACAGTTCCATGTCCTTCTTATATTGAGGACACGAGAGCTGCACACAGTGCGGCAAGTGGGGTCTCACAAGAGCAGAGTGGAGAGGCAGGATCACCTCCTTTTATCTGCTGCTCACATAGGATATTCCTATCAATTGAATCTAACACAATTTAAGGGAAGGATAAACATTACAAACAGTAGTTCCTCCTTTCATATCAGATACTTTTCATTTTCTATCCGCACTTACACCTACTGGGCAGTAGTCTGGTTATTTCCCACCTCCCACAAAGCCTCCTAACCCTTCCAAGTACTCAAGACTCTTCAGTCTTGTATCACATTGAGCTCTTTCAACTGCTGCTGCCCAGCACAGCACCATGGCCCACTGTTAAACCTGGCTTTCTCAGCCAGGTTATGAAAACTGGCTCCTCAACAGTACGTTTTTCCACACAGAATTGGATCCGAACAAAAATGGGTTTTTTTTTTACAACTTCAAGTTTTGACAGGATGAAAGGGGACATTCAAAATGAGGATCCAATATATTGGTTATGTTTGTGATACTTTCATGTGTTTGATAATTCTGACATCCATTCTCTATCACTATCAGAACTCTTTATAATACCCTGTGCAGCTGCTGCATTATCAGTTTAAACACTTGTTTCTTTCCACAGCACTGTTTGCCATGGAAATTAAAGTTGAAAAAGACATGAAGACAGGAGAAAACACAGTGTTGTCAACAATACCTCTTCCCTCAAAGGAGTTTAAAGAGACAGGAATTAAAGTCTATGATGATGGCAGGAAGTCGGTCTATGCAGTGTCCTCAAACGGCAGCACAACACAAAATGGGGTGGATGAACTTGCTCCTGTTGAGGTGGAGGACCTGCTACGGCAGGCAACTGAAAAGAATTCCCAGTCTCCCACAGAGTACCATGAGCCTGTGTATGCAAACAAGTTTTGCAGGCCAGTTACCCCTCAGAAAGACAAATTAGTTCCTGGACCAAAACTGGAAGACACTCATAGAAGAGAGATGAATGGATTTAGCAATCATCAGACAGAATTCTTCTCAAAACCAGAGCCCTTTATGCAGCAACATAAAGAGAATGGTCTTGATCTTCCAAAGGTAATACAGCCAAAGTCACCCTCTCCAGTCCTTCCCCACTCAGAGAAGAATGTGCACACTAATCCTGAGAACAGGATGATACATAATGAAGGACGAAAAGCTGCACATGAGGAATTAAAACCTTCCCAGAATACCAGAGAAAGACATAATGAGACAAGGTTTTTAAGTCCCTGCCATCCTAATGAAACATCCCCTGCACCCCAAGATGAGGAAGATACTCGCTACAGCGTTGTCCAAGCTGTGCCATGTTACGTGGATGATTCTGAACCGGTAACTATGATTTTCATGGGTTATCAGCGCATTGATGATGATGATGCAGAGGCAAACCAAAAGTTATCGCAATACGATGGGGTTATCCGCGCAGAGTTAGTTATCATTGATGATGATGACGAAGAGGATAGCAAATCTGAGAAACCAGCATATCATCCCATAGGCCACTATAGTCAGGTTTATCAGCCGCCGAGCAGGAAGCCCACAGAAGTCCCACAGATGAACCCTGTGAGCAGTCTGGGCACAAGTCTGAACAAGGTACCCCACAAAAACTCCATCTCCCTGCGAGAACAAGAGGAACGCTTAAGCTCTCCGACACACCATGCTCACCTTCATGGCCAGGGATGCGGAGACGGCACCGAAGATCCCTCACTAACAGGTAACAGGAAAGGCAAATCTTGTCACTGCTGTTCACTCATGTAGCAAACTGATACTGCTGTTCTCCACTAGCAACCGTTTCACTTGATTTTGATCGTTCCATGGACTAATATGCAATTACTAATCATTTCTTTGCTCTTGTTTATTAACAAATGCCAATGTGCAGTTTGGTACTGGTGAATTATTTCATCTTCAGCAATGCACTAGTTACCGGCTCAAAATTCGGAAACTAAACTCTCTCAGAAAAGCCATTTCTGTAACCTTCAGAGATGCAAAGTAGTTCTCTTTCAAGTGACGATTAAAAGCTCCACTGATGCTACCCCAATTAGCAGAATTAGTTTTCATTTCTACCAGGTAACTAGCAGCATTGCTTCTTAACACTGTCTCCTCACTGGAATGTTTCTTGTGCCTATCTGCATTCTAACCAGTTCAGAGATATTTGCTCCTTAAATTGCTCCCAAATTGCTCCTTAAATCAGAAAGACTGTTTAATAATGAGTTTTACTTGGCATTTCTCTGGAATCAGCATTCCCAATCTTGCCTTGACAATGTTTATACAAGTTTTAGCATCTTTTGTTAATCTGAGTTAAGCATTTTTATAGCCTCTGAAAGAGTTTTCATTACTTGTGGTTAGTCCACATGGTCCATAGTGCTTTTGTTTGTTTTTGTTTTGTTTTTTTAACACTTTTTATATTCTATTGATATTGAAGGTGTCTATTTCTTACTATAGAGTTTTATAATAAAAAGTTGACAGAACAACAGCAAGACCTTCCAGAAACACAGAAAGTTCATCTTTAGGATTATGTTGCACTTCAACTTACACAACTGAACAGCACTTAAAATACATTTATAGGGCAGCAGATTTCAGACCATAGTCACATTCTGCTTCACAGAATGAAAACTGTGCTTGAACTACAGGAAGATCAGGGGTCCTGAACCTACATTCTCTCCCTACTCCTCTCCAGACTATATTCTGAATTATTTTCCATTTTGGCAGCAGAAAAGTAAGTTTGGGTCCTGCCTAAAGCTCCTTTGGCAGCCCAGCATTTCTTTAAGTACGGGTAAAGCCGGGAGGGATGGTGGTCCCTGCATTACCTAAGGGGTATCAAGCATTTCTACATCAGTATGCACTGATTAGGAAGAGCTGTTCAGTAAGGAGCACTCTCAGTTTAGAGGAGTATCAGCCTTGTGCAACCATGCACACAACAGCCAGAAATATCCCAGTAGTGCTTCCCAGCCTTTCTGATCAATGAGGCCACTGCACTGTTCTACCACTTGAGAGGATCTTTGCTTCTCTCAAGCACCAATTCTGCCATCTGTGCACTTCCCTGTGTTCGCCAGGACCAAAGGCTGCTGTCAGCAGCTGAAAGCAGGAGTAGCTGGCACAGGCAAGATAAACCACTCCAGCAGCTGTTCCAGCCAATTATATTTTGGGAATAGTCCCCTAATTCCCCCATCACATATGTATATGCATATAATGGAGAAGCAGCACTCACCCATTCACATCTAACAATTTTTGCTTATTTTTATCTCCTGAAAGAGGCATCTGAAATATCTTCATTTTCCCCTGCCCCTCATAGGCACCCTCTAAACAATCTGGGTTCTCCCTCTTCTGCAGTTAATAGAAAACAAACACTGACTTTCAGGGGATGGAGATAAGTGTAAATCTAGCAAAGGCATTTGAGAATCTGTATTGGGTCTTACCCATTTCATTACCACTATTCTACCATGGGAAAAATAGCCCGTTAGGAAAAAAATGGTCCCAATTAAATGAAAAGCAAATTAAAAAGTTCAGCAACTGCCTGAAAAAGGCACCCCAACAGTTAGTACTGCTTCCAAGTGAGCATTCTTAAGTGCCCAGGAGAATTTGGAACTAAGCCATATGCCTCTTTACCTCTCCACCTATTTATTGTCATTCCCTGGGACATTTTGCTCTGTGGAAAAAGCCAGGAAGTGACTCAGTTTTTCCCCAGCAGTTCTTCAATCCTAATGCAACGTCTAAAAAGGAAACAAAACAAGGAAAGCCTCCGAAATCTACAACAATGTATTACACAGGGTTGTTTCTTAGGGAAATAAATTGTTTTCAAAGGCAGCCACTAGTCCAGCCCAGAAGGTTCACCTTAACTACCACCAGTGAAAAGAGGGAGTTAAAATTGGGATTGGTACCTCACCATTCATTACTAAAACGACAGCAAAAATAACTCTCTGAAATGAAAGCTTCAGAAAACAATTGCAGCATTTGAACATTAAACAGGCATTAAGGGAATGGAAAGGAAGGAAGCACAGGACACGTCAGGGAGATGATCCCTTATGTAGCAATTTTGCTTTAGCGAAGAAATGAACCTTCAGAGCAAGTCACTGAACAAGGTGGTGATGGCCAAGGACAACTACGAGGCAAAGGAATCGTTCCATGTGCCAATCTATATAAGGAAATGTCAGATTAAACAAGGAGCTTTCAGCATGCCCCCAAACTGATAGAAACTAGGACATATCTCCTTCCATATTGAAGGCTTGTTGCAGGACCAATATCTCCAAGTACGTGCCCTCAGAAAAACCATACCGAGAGAAGGATGACAATGCTATAATTAGGGCACCAGTGGTTTGCATTATTAGAGCTTATTTTCCTCTTTAAATTTCAGTCGGTGTGCAAATGTTTTGAAGATTAAATATTCATTGAGGAAATTAAAATTCCTTGGAGGAAACAAAGGCTAGACCTAGTGGAATGAATAAGGCAAGAAAAATTGAAGCTGAACAGGCAGTAAAACCTACTAACAGTGCGGAACAAGCTCTCATGGGGCATGAAGGTCCAAGGCTTTTGGTGGGTCTAGATGAGCTATTTTTAATTCTTACCACTGTAAGCTGTGTAACCTTCAAACTCGCATGTTTGTGTCAAAGAATAACGGACAAAAAAGCTTTCTCATTGAGGAAGATTCATGCACACCATGTTCCTTTAAAGTATAGAGCAAGGGAAAAAGGGACTAATGGCTCTCAGTATAGCGTCAGACTGATTGTTCTCTCAAACCACAAGCAGGACTTGAAGCCTTCAGACCTCCCTAGTCTGCAAACAGTACACAGGGTCTTTGTAAGAGCTAAGCTTAACATCAGTGGCCCTACGGTATAAAGTTACACTCAGATGCTTCTATGATTTGCAATAACTTCAGCATTCAAAACATTGCTCCAGTTGGGCATTTGCTGACATGCATAAATCAAGTAAACAGCTGCTTTGATGCCTGTCTCTCAGTACAGGGACATGTGCAGGAAGAAGGGACGAGAGATGCTATTTTGGGTGACTCTTCAAACTAAGAGGTCAGAGGACTGGAGAGGATTCGTAGATCAACTACGTGGTGGGGGGAGCTCTTACATATCAAAGAGCAGCCTTCTATTGCTGTTCTTAAAATAACCTTAACATTTAATCTTCTGCCCTCCACTGTCACTTTCAAACTAACCCACACTATCCCCCACTACAGACAATAGCCACACTGATGTTCATACAGATTGTAAATCACTCCGTCGGACTTAAATTATAGGAATAACACTGACTCACTACACCAGGAAGACAGGAGAGCTGTCTGTGAACATGAACACAAAGGAAAAAAGGCTTCCAAACAGTTACAGCTCCCACTGAGGAGTTTAGATTAAACACAGAGTTTGTTTAATTATTCATGCATCCTTTGAATCATTCAAGGACAATACCAGCTGTCTACAACGCATTCGGGAAGGGAACAGTTAGGTAAACTGTGCTAATCTTCAAATAGTAATACTGGAGCCATTTCGTAATATTTCTTAATATATCTCTTTCTTGCAAAATTATCCGAACTAATGCTTTCTACTGATTTCTTTCTATAATACTAAACCAATGCTTATTCTGCTGGATTAATCACCGGAGGTATGTGTAATTCTTCATTTCTTTATATGAAGATTTACTGTCAGAAAGAGGAAGTTAGTCTGAAAATGCAATGGCTTGGTTTTCTTTTTTCAGCTCTGAGGATGAGAATGGCAAAGCTGGGGAAAAAGGTGATTTAACAGCTGTAATGACATGGAAGTAAAGTTTGCTACTCAAAACAGCATAAAGCTAAGAAGAATTTCTGCAGCACACCTTTTTTGGATCAGAATGCTTGCTTTGCTCCTCTCTTTTATGCACCTGGGTTATTTTGCCCTCTGCATAACCCAATGGACTTGAACAGACTTTTAGATTTGACCAACTGCCACATAGACACAAATCACACCCTGGATTTCTCTGTAAGTAGTGGAGAGTTACCTAAGACCATAAACACAGTATATATCCAAGTATGAAGACATGTGCATACCTGCTCCCACAGTCAGGAATATGCTGTTGCTATACACATAAAGCAGATAAACACCCATCTCCAAAGAACTTCAGAGGACACTGTTTCATTTCCAAGTTTGATCTACCCAATTGTGATTGAAAACGCCGTTTTGCTGGTTAGAGCATTGGTTAATAAAAAACTAAGCATGAGAGATAGGAGCAGGGAGAAATATAATATAAAACCTGGTTTCCAAGCATGCCACCTTGGCCAAAATTTAAAGCATTCCTTTTTAAGTGACACCAAAAGAAACTAAACCAATAAAGAAGTCAGTTTAAATCTTTAGCTGCCTTCTAGAGCTCCACAGTCCAGCTATCCTTCTGTTTTACATATGGCCACACAGCCATCCTCAGCTCCTGCTCCCTTCAATACCATGAACCGCCTGACCTTCCAAGCACTGTTTCCCTTTATAGGTTGCTTAGAAACCCCTGCTTTTCCAGGAAACTGGTTTCCGGACAGACAGTGCCTGGCCAGGCAGTGCAGGCATCCCAACAGAAACACTGGAGTTGCCAGTGGCTTGTCCTGCAGCATCAAGAGAAGGTCTGTTAGAGATACAGCCACTGCCAGGCACTGCAGCTCAAGGCTCCAATCAATGAGCAGGTTAATTCTTTCCATGTGAGGGAGGAGCTGAGGGCACTGAAAGCAGCCATAAGGTACAGTTACCCCTAGAAAAATACATGCAAGTTGTATTTTTCCAGTACATAGTTCTTGGGGGTGAGAAAAAGTGCCTCCTAGCACTGCATCCTTCTACTCAAATCAGTATGATAGGTCTTAGCCTGGTTTGAATCACTGAACAGCTAACGCTCAGGTTGTGTTATTCTACTATAGCTGACTCAAATTATGCACCAGCAAAGAAACCAAAAGACCACAAGTTTTTTTCCTGGCCTTCCTCGTTTCAAAGCAGGAAACTGAAGCTACTACCTCACACTGAGGCAGGATGGTAGGAATCAGCTGATGTGCAGCCTCTGAGTACTTAGTGGCTCCCAGTCTGAAGTGGGTAAAAATCTTCAATCTTAGGACTTGTCAGAGATGGTTACCTGAAGAGTGGAATAGTAGATAAACCAAATAAATATAACTGTATCGCACTTTCTCTGTGTCTATCCTGGTGGGTTTCTGTTATAGTAAATTATTTTCCCTCATGTTTCTTCTGTTATTTTGTTTACATCTTCTCAAGAGGTTCTTAACAGCATATACCCAAAAGTGAGAGACTAGGAGACTGATACCAAGTAGTCACAAGCAGGTTTTGTAACAGTGGCTATAGATACTCATCCCCTGCCTTCCC